TTTATTTCTGGACTCTAAATTGTATTCCATTGACCTGTATGTCTGTCCTTATGCCAGTACCACATTGTCTTGATTGCTGTAGCTTTGTGTAGTACGTTTTGAAATTGGCAAACGTGAAATGTGAGTCCTCAGACCTCTCTCTTCAAGGTGGCCATTCTAGGTTTCTTGCATTTCCATATGAATTCTAAGATCAGCTTGTCAATGTCTGCAAAAAGCCAGCTGAGATTTTGATAGGAGTTGAATTGAATCTATACCTCAGTTTGGAGAGTTTTGTCATTTTAACAATACTGTCTTTTAAACCATGAGCATGAGGATGTTTTTCAATTTACTTAGGTCTTCTTTAATTTTATGGGGTTTTTTGTTTTTTTTTTTTTTTTAAGACGGAGTTTTCACTGTTGTTGCCCAGGCTGAAGTGCAGTGGTGAAATCTTGGCTCACTGCAACCTCCACTTCCCAGGTTCAAGCGATTCTCCTGCCTCAGCCTCCCAAGTAGCTGGAATTACAGGCATGCGCCACCATGCCCTGCTAATTTTGTAGTTTTAGTAGACTACATGTTGGTCAGACTGGTCTCAAACTCCCAACCTCAGGTGATCTGCCCTCCTCAGCCTCCCAAGTGCTGGGATTATAGGCGTGAGCCACCACACCTGGCCAGGTCTTCTTTAAATTTTTTTAAACAATGTTTTATGATTTTAAGAGTATGTAAGCTTTATATTTATTTTGTTATATTTATTCCTAAATGTTTTATTTTTTTGATGCTATTATAGATGGAATTGTTTTCTTAATTTCATTTTGAGTTGCTCATTACAAGTATATAGAAATATAATTGATTAGTTATTGATCTTGTGTCCTGCAACCTTGCTGAACTCATTTAATAGTTCTAATAGTTTTTTGGTAGATTCCTTATGATTTTATGCACAAGATCATGTCATCTTCCTTTCCATTCTGGATGCTTTTTATTTCTTTGTCTTGCCCAGTTGCCGTGGTTAGAATCTCTAGTACAACGTTGAATAGATGTGGTGAAAGAGGACATCCTCATCTTGTTCCTCATCTTAGAGGGGAAGCATCCAGTCTTTCGCCATTAACTATGATGTTAGTTGTGGGTTGTTTAGAGATGCTCTTTGAGGAAGTTTCCTTTTATTCCTAGTTTGTTGAGAGTTTGTTTTTTTTTTCTTTTAATCATGAAGGGATGTTGGAGTTTTGTCAGATGTTTTTGCTGCAGCTGTTGAGATGATCGTGTATTTTTGTTTTATCCCGTGATATGGTGTGATACGTTAATTGACTATCTAAAGTTATACCATTCTTCTATTTGTAGGATAAGTCTCAGTTGGTCATAGTATAAAATACCCTTTTTATATGTTGCTGAATTTAGTTTGCCAGTATATTGTTGAGGATTTTTGCATCTACATCATAAGAGATGTTAGTGTGTGGTTTTCTTTTCTTATGAAGCATTTGTCATCAGGATAATAGTGGGTTCATAAAATGAATTGGAAAGTTTTCCTTCTTCATCTATTTATTGAAAGAGTTTGTGAGACATTGGTATTAATTCTTCTTTAGATGTTTCATAGAATTCACCAGTGAAGGCCAGACATGGTGGCTCATACCTGTAATCCCAGCACTTTGGGAGGCTGAGGTGGGCAGATCATATGAGGTTAGGAGTTCAAGACCAGCCTGGCCAACATGGCAAAACCCCAGTTTTACCAAAAGTACATAAATTAGCCAGGTGTGGTGGTGGGCACCTATAATCCCAGCTACTCAGGAGGCTGAGGCACAAGAAATCACTTGAACCTGGGAGGCGGAGGTTGTAGTGAGCTGAGATTGTGCCACTATACTCCAGCCTGGGCGACAGAGCGAGACTCAATCTCAAACAAAACAGAACAAAAAAACCATCTGGGCCTGCATTTTTTTGGTGGGCAGTTTTAAAATTACTAATTCAATTTCTTGTTATAAACTTATTCAGATTTTCGGTTTCTTTTTGAGTCAGTTTTGCTAGTTTGCATTTCTGTAGGGATTTATCTTGTTCATCTAAGTTGTCTAATTTGTTGGCATACAGTTGTTCATAGTCTTCTTTTATTTTATTTTATTTTTTTTGAGATGAAGTTTCACTCTTGTTGCCCAGGCTGGAGTGCAATGGCATAATCTCGGCTCGCCTCAACATCCGCCTCCTGGGTTCAAGTAATTCTCCTGCCTCAGCCTCCCAAGTAGCTGGGGCTACAGGCATGCACCACCACGCCCAGCTAATTTTGTATTTTTAGTAGAGATGGGGTTTCTCCATGTTGGTCAGGCTGGTCTCGAACTCCTGACCTCTAGTGATCCACCTGTCTTGGCCTCCCAAAGTATTGGGATTACAGGCATAAGCCAACGCTCCCGGCCCATAGTTTTCTTTTATAATCCCTTTTATTTCTGTAGAGTTGCTAATAATATTCCATCTTTAATTCCTGATTTTAGTAACTTAAGTCTTCTCTCGTTTTTCCCTGGTCTATCTAACTAAATGTTCGTCAATGTTGCTGACATTCTCCAAGAACCAACTTTTGGTTTTGTTGATTTTCTCTATTGTTTTCTCTTCTCTGTTTTACTCATTCCCCCTCTACTCTTTATTCACTTATTGTTTTAAAATCACACTGTCACCATAATACAATTACAGCATTTTTTTTTTTCTACTGCCTCTTACTTCAGATGAGAGAGGTGCAGAAGGTCTGAAGAGTTACAATTATCCAATAAAAGTGTGCTGCTCTGTCTTATCCATAGGTGCTCCTCTATGGTCCCAACTAGAAAAAAAGTTAACATTGTAATGTATTTGGCTTTTATTTTGTGCGTCATCTCTAACTGTTGCCTAGGAGTTTGAGTGTTTTTTGTTTGTTGTTGTTGTTTTGTTTTGTTTTTGAGATGGGAGTCTCGCTCTGTCACCCAGGCTGGAGTGCAGTGGCGTGATCTCAGCTCACTGCAACCTCTGCCTCCCGGGTTCAAGCGATTCTCCTGCCTCAGCCTCCCGAGTAGCTGGGACAATATAGGCGCTCACCACCTTGCCTGGCTAATTTTTGTATTTGTAGTAGAGATAGGGTTTCACCATGTTGGTCAGGTTGGTCTCGAACTCCTGACTCAGATGATCCACCTGCCTCGGCCTCCCAAAGTGCTGGGATTACAGGCGTGAGCCACCGCGCCTGGCTGAGTTTGAGTGTTAATCCTTACTCTGTGCTTTTAGTTTTGCTCTGGGGTGTGAATTGTAGTAAGTAGTTTCCCCTTTCCCATGATAAACATTTTTACACACCTCCCCTGTGGCAGGTAGTGTGCTAAACCTAGCACCTTTCATTTCGATTGAATTTGTTAGGTAAGAAAATACTTAGTTTATGTAATAGATGTGTAGGAAGATAATGAGTTCGCTAATTATTTCTTTCCTGCTAAACTTCAACTGAATTCATAGTTCATAAGTTCATCATCTTGTTACTTTTAAGAAAATATTTAATGCAAGTTAGAGACTAGAGTAAGAGAATCTAGAAGACGTTAATATGACTTGGATGCTACCCTTTGGAATTCTCCATCTCTTTGGTGCGATGGACAAGTCATAACCTTGGGAAGAGTCAGGGAATCATGGGAGGTATGTGGACTGGGCTCCAGGAGACAGGAAGGTATTTTAGCACTGGGGGAACACTGAGGCCTGGGATTGGTCCAGGAGGACTTATATTCAGCTAGCAGATGTCTTCAACCATGTTTCTTATTCCTCAGTAAGAGTTATCTTCACTATAATAGCCATGACGTAGTTTTCGCAAAACAGGGAGGTTTGATAGCTATTGGATTGTGGCAGTTTACCCATGATCCTGCTTCACTTTCCTAAGTGGCACTTTCTGTGTATCTTCAGAGACTGCAGGAGTAGTACCTGAATAACAGCTAGCATCTCAAATAAAAATAAAGCACATTTTCTAAGATGTATTATGGCATTTAAAAAGTTTTTACAGGCTGGGCATGGCAGCTTATGCCTTTAATCCCAGCTACTAGGGAGGCTGATATGGGAGGATCTCTTGAGCCCAAGAGGTCAAGGCTGCAGTAAGCTGTGATCACGCCACTGCACACCAGCCTGGGTGACAGAGTGAGACCTTGTTTAAAAAAAAAAAAAAAAAAAGTTGTACCTTCCAAAAGTCCATGGCAGTTTATAGTATCCTTGAAAGAACTTTCAGAGTCACATTTTTGCAGGCAGCGCCCAGGCCTTGAGACTTAGCTCACACTAGAGAAATTGCTGCATGGCTCTGGAGATGCGGTACAGGTGCCAAAAGGGGGGCAAGAGTGGCAGAATAGGAATGAAGAGGTAAGAGCCAGGTGTGCATGTCTAGCATGGGGAAGAAAACCCTCGATGGGATGGACGGAAGTGACGCATGTGCGCTTGTCTATTTCTCTGTGAGTAGACCCACATACGTGCCCGGCAGATCATGCTTGTGGTCTGAAGGACCCACACATGCTGCTGGAGTTTACGTGCTACTTCAGGGCATGTGGAACTCAATACACAATAATGAGAGTGGAGTTTTGGTGGGAATCCAGCTAGAGAATGTAATTTTATTCTGACCCAAATTATCTTCTGTGCTTTCAGTTTTGACTGAAGTCCTGTACTTCCTGTTCTAGACTTGAATGCTGATATGTGCTTGAGAAATCCCCCATGTTCTGTGTTGTCCGGTGATTGCATTTCATGAAAGCTCCTGGCCTTGTTTAGACTTAATTTAAGTGCTGTCAAGAGCTTAAAGTTGTGTTGGATGATCTGGGGCCTGTTGCCAACATTTATTTATTAGGCACTTAACTTGACAGAAAAAGGAATTCAGTAACTATCATCTTTATATATAATCCCCAAATTCATATTTTAATTGTGCCCAAATGCAAACATAACCTTCTTACATGTGTTGCTCTAATTAATGCATAAATATGTTTTCCATTTTTTTGTACTTGAAATATCTGTCAAACACATTTCTCTATTTTAATGTAATACATGCAGTTATATAAATGCCAGTGTTTCCTTCACAGAATGTGGAGGCTGTGGACCCACGAGGTCGAACATTACTGCATCTTGCTGTTTCCTTGGGACATTTGGAATCTGCTCGAGTCTTACTCCGACATAAAGCAGATGTGACAAAAGAAAATCGCCAAGGATGGACAGGTAAGTATACTTTTACAATAATTTAAAGTCCTCCTGGGCAACATGGTGAAACCCTGTCTACAAAAAAATACGAAAATTAGCCAGGTGCGGTGGTGCATGTCTGTAGTCCCAGGTACTAGGGAGGCTGAGGGGGTAGGATCACCTGAGCCCGGGGAGGTTGACACTGCAGTGAACTGTGATTGCGTCACTGCCCTCCACCCTGGGCAATAGAGCGAGACCTTGTCTCAAAAAGAAGGTCATTCATTTTGGTTTATCTTTCTGAATAAAGGCCAGTCTCAATCATACTTTTCCTCAGAGTCATCTTTATCTTTTTTTTTTTTTTTTTTCCCCGAGAAGGAGTCTCGCTCTGCCGCCCAGGCTGGAGTGCAGTGGCCGGATCTCGGCTCACTGCAAGCTCCGCCTCCCGGGTTCACGCCGTTCTCCTGCCTCAGCCTCCCAAGTAGCTGGGACTACAGGCGCCCGCCACTTCGCCCGGCTAGTTTTTTGTATTTTTTAGTAGAGACGGGGTTTCACCGTGTTAGCCAGGATGGTCTCGATCTCCTGACCTCGTGATCCGCCCGTCTCGGCCTCCCAAAGTGCTGGGATTACAGGCTTGAGCCACCGCGCCCGGCCTCATCTTTATCTTAAGATTTCTCTCTTGGGACAAAGGATGGGGACAAGGAAATGGGAGCCCAGGATGATACAGGTTGTGTCCCAAGCCAGAAACCCTCGGTAGAGAATGACTCCTCATCCAGAAATAGCTCTCAATGCAAACTTCTTCCACCGTACATGAACATGGAGGCTGGTTTTCCCTTGAGGAATATGGTTACCTCCATTGAATCCATCAAAATAGGCAAAAATCAAAAATAAATTGTGGCTAAAAGTAGCCTCTTCCTGGGAAATCCTGGCATTCCACTTGTTCGTAAGCTCTTCTACCATTGGTCAGAGTAATTTTGTATTCACTGAGCAGGGATACTGTAGGCCAAGCCCTGCCTGCCAGGTCTGCATATAACCACAGTTACATGTTGTGTGATCGTATAGTTAAAGCCAGCTCTCTAAACACATTGTCAGGATTTCGGAACCAGTGGTAAGAAGAGGGGTGGGGAGAGGTGGAAGGGGTTTGATCAAGATGCTAAGGGTACTCTATGTTTTTTACTCAGTGAAGAGCTAGCAATCAGAAGTCATGATCATAAGGTTGGACTGCAGCCCTTTTCTTCTGAAGAAAATACTGTCTTTGATCTAGATACTTTTTCAGCCTGGTTTTGGAATTTGTCAGAGAGTATGAGAATTAAATTTCACCCTTTTGTTTTCCAGTTTTACATGAGGCTGTGAGCACTGGCGATCCTGAGATGGTATACACAGTTCTTCAACATCGAGACTACCACAACACATCCATGGCCCTTGAGGGAGTTCCTGAGCTGCTCCAGAAAATTCTCGAGGTATTCATGAAAATATGTTCAGGCTATAATGTGAGCTAAATGCTGATACAATTACTGGAGACACAGTTTGACATCCTTGTGTGCCTTCCTAAAGAGTTTTCTGATTCATGAATATGAAATACTGAATACCAATCACATTGTTCCTTGCCCTTCTAATTTGTAGAAGTGTGAGGTCTTTCACAAATTACACTTCTAAGTCACTGGGCTTACCCTTTTAAGTACTATTTAAAGATTATAATTCAACCAGGCATAGTGGCTCGTGCCTATATTCCCAGCACTTTGGAAGGCTGAGGGAGGAGGATTTGCTTAAGCCCAGGAGTTTGAGACCGGCCTGGGCACCAAACAAAGCAAGACTCTGTCTCTAAAAGAAGAATTAATCAGACATGCTAGTGCACACCTGTTGTCTGAGCTACTTGGGAAGAGGCTGGGGTGGGAGGATTGCTTGAACCCAGAAGGTTGAGGCTGCAGTGAGCCATGATCACACCCCTGCACTCCAGTCTGGACAACAGAGCAAGACCTAAAATAATAATAACAAATATAATAATAAAATAATAAATGATAATAAAGTAAAAATTAGAACTTAAGGAAAATGGACAACAAACAGTTAATTTGTTTAGGTGCCTGTTTTCTTGAAAGTAGCCTCCTGAGCATCAATAATCTTAAGGAAGTTGTGATAAGCATCACTTACTATGCAGGGATTTTCAGATCCTGTTAAGGCTCAGAGGTCCATGTGCAACTTTTCCTTGCCAGTCTTGTCACTTCTAGCTATTAGTATTTTGAGACCTTTGTCCATTGCCCTAATTCATTTATAGAGAAAAATTAATAGCTCTATCAAGAAAAGGAACAACTTTATTATAAATAAGACAGTCAGCCAGGCGCGGTGGCTTACGCCTGTAATCCCAGCACTTTGGGAGGCTAAAGCAGGCAGATCATGAGGTCAGGAGTTCGAGACCAGCCTGGCCAATATGGTGAAACCCCGTCTCTACTAAAAATACAAAAATTAGCTGGGTGTGGTGGCATGTACCTGTAGTCCCAGCTACTTACTCGGGAGGCTGAGGCAGAAGAATTGCTTGAACCCAGGAGGCGGAGTTTGCCGTAAGCCGAGATCGTGCCACTACACTCCAGCCTGGTGACAGCAAGACTCTGTCTAAAAAAATAAAAATAAGAAAAAGACAATCGTTAGTCATTTTTTGAGCCATCTTTAAAAAGAATTTCTTTTCTTTTTTTTTTTTTTGAAACAGAGTTTCACTCTTATTGCCCAGGCTGGAGTGCAATGGCATGATCTCAGCTCACTGCAACCTCCGCCTCCCAGGTTCAAGTGATTCTCTTGCCTCAGCCTCCTGAGTAGCTGGGATTACAGGTGCGTGCCACCACGGTCAGCTAATTTTTTGTATTTTTAGTAGAGACAGGGTTTCATCATGTTGGCCAGGCTGGTCTCGAATTCCTGACCTCAGGTGATCCACCCGCCTCGGCCTCCCAAATTGTGGGGATTAGAGGCGTGAGCCACTGCGCCTGGCCTAAAAAGAATTTCTAAGCTAAGTCGTGCCCAAGGTATTCATTTCCCATATATACTACAGTTAAATCTCCCATAAAATATGAAATATTTGTATGCATTGTTTTAAAAATAGGTGTGTATTTTTGAGTGTGCAAAGATAACATGGATTTCTTGTTTTCTTCGTAACTTAACTGCAGGAGGAGCTAAAAACATCATCTGCCCATTTGGCAAAGTAGAAAATTACTTTTTTAACATGAGGTGACCCTTCACTTAAAAAATTTAGTGTCGGCGGGGCATGGTGGCTCACGCCTGTAATCCCGGTACTTCGGGAGGCCAAGGAGGGCAGATCACGAGGTCAGGAAATTGAGACCATCCTGACTAACACGGTGAAACCCCGTCTCTACTGAAAATACAAAAAATTAGCAGGGCATGGTGGCGGGCACCTGTAGTCCCAGCTACTGGGGAGGCTAAGGCAGGAGAATGGCGTGAACCTGGGAGGCGGAGCTTGCAGTGAGTCGAGATTGCACCACTGCGCTCCAGCCTGGGTGACAGAGCGAGACTCATCTCAAAAAAAAAAAAAATTTAGTGTCAAGGATTTTCATTTTTTCACTCATATTGGTCCATTGCGATGGACTGCACTGAATTGTATTCTTTGCTTTAAGTTATAGAGAGCCCATAAATGACCTGTGTACTTAGCGGCTCCAGAAGCTGTCATTAATGTCTTGTCTTTCAACAGCATCTCCTTATAACATATGCCAGCCTTTCTTACCACCTGTCTCTTGGAGGTTGTCTTTGCTCATCATTAGAATGCTGGCAGATTTTACTCCAGGGTAGATTCTTGGCCCTCCTGCCCTGTGCTTTGGTAAAAATGATGGAAAAGCCTTGCAAGTGTGTAGGAACAAGAAGAACACCTGAAATTTCTAGCATTTCTCTTCTTGAAGGGTAACTTGGATTTCTGAGTCTTTAGGAACCTATAGGAATGGTAGGTAAGAAAATAATCCTAAACAGGGCTGCTCTGGTGGTTTAAAACTTTAGAAAGCCAAATTCTACATGTTTCAGAGGAAAGTGGAGAAAAATGTTCTGTTAACTGGAGGAAAAATCAACTTCCTGAGGAAGTGAAGTCTAGCAACCTCTTTCAGTTTCACAGAGCAGTTCAATAAGTAGGAAGCACTTGCCAGTACACAAAGCCTTTTACAGTCAAGTTCCTCGTTGAATGGATGGAATTGACATTCCCTGCCCTTTGCCTAGAATAGATGGTTACCCATATTGCTTGGCAGTGCTTAAGCCCATCTTCCCAGGCTCATCTTTCTCTTACTGTTAGGAACCTGACTGGATCCCTGAATCAGGTTTGACTTTTATCCCCCTCCAGTCCTCTTATCCTCTTTCTTTCTGTTCACTTTCTTTCTTTCTTTCTTTTTCTTTTTTTTTTTTTTTTTTTTGAGATGGGGGTCTCACTCTGTCGCCTGGGCTGGAATAGTGCGATCTCGCCTCACTGCAACCTCTGTCTCCCAGGTTCAAGTGATTCTCCTGCCTCGGCCTCCCCAGTAGCTGGGATTACAGGCGTGTGCCACCATGCCCAGCTAAGTTTTGTATTTGTAGTGCAGATGGGGTTTCACCATATTGGCCAGGCTGGCCTCGAACTCCTGACCTTAACTGATCCACCCGCCTCGGCCTCCCAACATGCTGGGATTACAGGCATGAGTGAGCCACTGCGCCCAGCCATCTGTTCACTTTCTTAACATCTAGACATATTTTATATCGAGGCAAAATAACACTCTAATATATAATAAGTAATGGGCTTACACTTGTTTTTTCTTTTTTTTTTTTTTTTTTTGATATACTATCTCGCTCTGTCACCCAGGCTGGAGTGCAATAGTGCAATCTTGGCTCTCTGTAGCCTCCACCTCCTGGCCTCAAGCAATCCTCCCCCCTCAGCCTCCTGAGTAGCTGGGACTAGAGTGAGCCACCATAGGCAGCTACTTTTTGTATTTTTTGTAGAGATAGGGTTTCGCCATGTTGTCCAGGCCGGTCTCAAATTCCTGAGCGCAAGTGGTCACCCGCCTCAGCCTCCCAAAGTGCTGGGATTACTGGCATGAGCCACCTCACCTGGCTAGGGGCTTACATTTTGTTTCTTCTTATTTTCTCTTTTCTTTTTTTTTAAACCCAGGGTTTTTAAGAACCCTGTTAACCCCTGCTTATGTTGTGTTGATAGTGCCAAGGGTAATCTGTTTTAAACCTTTGTCTGCCCTTCAGGCTCCGGATTTCTATGTGCAGATGAAATGGGAATTCACCAGCTGGGGTGAGTGGCTGTGGGCTTGTTATTTATTTCTCTTTCTAAATTTACTTAGCTCACATGTAGGTTTATTTTTCCTTTGTAAAAGTTACATGTACTTTTTTTTTTTAATCAAGGAAATACATAGTGAAGAATAAGGAAAAATAATCACCGATAGTCCCATTTAAACACAACTGTTAATGCTTTGGGTGTTTTTCATCCAGTCTTCCCCCCGATGCATAGGACTTTTCCTCCCAAGCATTCATGAAGATAGTATATAGACAGTTTCATTTCCTCCTTTTGTCATTTATAGCTGCCATCTGTATTATTAGTTTTAAAATGTCACTTTATTTTTATTTTTTTGAGACAGAGTCTCACTCTGTTGCCCAGGCTGGAGTGCAGTGGCACAACCTTGGCTCACTGTAATCCTCGTCTCCCAGATTCAAGCGATTCTCATGCCTCAGCCTCCTGAGTAGCTGGGATTACAGGTGCATGCCACTGTGCCCAGCTAATTTTTGTATTTTTAGTAGAGAGTGGGGTTTCACCATGTTAGCCAGGCTGGTCTCAAACTCCTGACTTCAAGTGATCCACCCACCCCAGTCCCCCAAAGTACTGGGATTACAGGCATGAGCTACCATGCCCAGCCTGATTTTTGTATTTTTAGTAGAGATGGGGTTTCATTATGTTGGCCAGGCTGGTCTCGAACTCCTGACCTCAGCTGATCCACCCGCCCCAGCCCCGCAAAGTGCTGGCATTACAGGCATGAGCCACTGCACCCGGCCCAAAATGTCACTTTAAATTGCTAGAATTTTAATAAGTAGATTTACCATAATTTACTAATTTCCTTATGTGGTTTAGCTCGATTCTTTTAAACTTGTTATTCTAAACAAGTTGAGGTGAATACTAGAATAGCTTTTTTTTTTTTTTTTAACAAAATGGATATATTTCTCTAAAGTATTACATAGGCAATTGACTGACAGTATATTTCCATAGATGTTCTACTTTTATTTCTTGTAGATAAGTTAACGATAACTCCTAACTTCCAGGTTTCAGCTGCTTCCATTTCCAGACTTCCCTTTCAGGCAAGAAGTCATATTTGTATGAAATGTTTAAATGGCATAAAAGTACATAATATAATAGAACTTCAGATTGTTTTGAGAAATGAAAATTTTTTCTAAGGTACATAGTCACTCTTATTTCAGGTTTTGTTAAAAAGTGGCATACTTAGGCTGGGTGCGGTGGCTCACGCCTGTAATCCCAGCACTTTGGGAGACTGAGGTGGGAAGATCACCTGAGGCCAGGAGTTCAAGACCAGCCTGGCCAACATGGTGAAACCCCGTCTCTACAAAAATACAAATATTAGTCGGGCATGATGGTGGGTGCCTGTAATCCCAGCTACTCGGGAAGCTAAGGCGGGAGAATTGCTTGAACCCAGGAGGTGGAGGTTGCAGTGAGCCAAGATCGTACCACTGCACTCCAGCCTGGGCGACTGAACGAGACTCCGTCTCAAAAAAAAAAAAAAAGTGGCATACTTTAGACATTTGATACTCTGAATGGTGGATATGACAATATGGTAGGCCCCAGCCATATGGCAAGAGTTGCATATGTGAGTGAGGAAAGCCAGACGGACAGACCCTATATAGTGGGGACAGACTCCACTATAAAGTGGGGCTCATTTCGGGATCAAGAATACTCTTGGGAAATTTATTTAGACTTTTTTTCTGATGAATGGAACGGAAGGTTCATTTTTATTTTTCAAGAGTGATTTCCTGTATGGTAGATATGACAGCCAAGACGTCCAGTTGTTTGATGGTCACCATTTTGCCACTCCCCTCCTTTTGTTAAATCAGAATCCTGATTTCCTGGCTTAGGTGTTCTACTTGGCCCTTGAGTTTTTCTCAGTGGTACACTTCTCTCCTCCAGTGCCCTTGGTTTCTAGAATATGCCCGAATGATGTCTGTCGCATCTGGAAAAGTGGTGCCAAACTGCGCGTTGATATCACATTGCTGGGATTTGAAAACATGAGCTGGATAAGAGGGAGGCGTAGTTTTATATTTAAGGGAGAAGGTGAGTGACTTCTCTTGTAGTAATCACTGCTGAAGCGAAATTACAGGGTGATTTTTAACCATCAAAATGCTTCCACATTCATGTGCCTTTTCTGTCTGATCTTTTCTAGGGCATGTTTTTTGGTTATTCTTATTAATTATTCAGCTCTCCATCCCTGTCTTTGTTCTTGTCTGGCTAGTTCTCCTTCATGTGTCCTTTACCACCCAGAAGTTACCCTTGTGATGTGTCTGCTTCACTTTCCTGAGCCTTTGAGCACAGGCATTCTGTGTGTATCTCTGTATAACCCTCCATAATCAGGCATGAGAAATGGCATTGCTCACCCAATGTTGTGCATACATAATTTCTATGAATTCTGTAATAATATGTTTTATAAAGGACATTGATGGAATATAGTGCTAATAAGAATACAAATTATTTAAAAATTCCGCATCTTTGGGGAAGATGGCTCAGAGCTTCCTATGTATGGTGGAAAGCTGGTCAGATAGGTGCAAATAGGTAGTCAATAATCAGTATACTGTACGTTTTATCAGATAGCACCTGGGAGGACACACATGAAAGATGATGCATTTTAACATACGAAGCTTCCTTGTTTTTTGCATCTTCCCTGCTTTGTGCTTAGTTATGTCTTTGTTTCCATTAATAGACAACTGGGCAGAGTTGATGGAAGTCAACCACGACGACAAAGTAGTCACCACCGAACACTTCGACCTTTCCCAAGAAATGGAGCGCCTCACTCTGGACTTGATGAAGCCAAAAAGCAGGGAAGTTGAGAGGCGGCTTACAAGCCCAGTCATTAACACCAGCCTCGATACTAAAAATATTGCTTTTGAAAGGTACAAATTTAGACTCTAAATTTTAAGGTCTAATCCCCATGCTGCCATCTTGAGTGACATGTATGTATGAATTGGAAATTATGGATGGATTGGGTTTTTTCTAATATGACATAATAAACACTAGTGGGTTTTAAGATTGATCTCTAACCAATAGAAATTGTAGCTGACACTCGACACCATCCATCATTTTTATAGCACATTGGTTAAGTCTTCTAAGACTTAACCAACATGAAGAATATGAATAAATGTCTTCTTTTTCTTTTATGTGCCCTTTCTAGTGGCTTTTACTTGAATCTTATTTTTGTCTTGATGTTTATGGATCCACAACACTCAGTCCCAGACCACGGAGCTTGGAGTTTCTGGAGGTTAGAATTGACCCAGTACTGAGTTCAGTTGTACTGATACTGGTCAGTCAAATTCACACTTACTATATAGTTAAATGTTCGTTTGGTTTTTTTTTTTTAACCCACCTGTGAGGTTTAATGGTTTAGAGCAAGAATCTGGAGGGGATTTAGTTCTGTTCCAGACTCATAAAGAATTCTCCAGAGAGGTCTGTGCCTTGGTTAATCCAGATGAGAACACCATCACTGGTCATGTGCCTCTGGGCCACATGGAGGGCTTAGAGGGCCTTTGAGTAGAGGCTGTCAAAGCTGTTTGCCTGTTTCTACAGTGGAGAACACTGACCCGATGGAGTCCTACGAGCACTGATGGTATTTGCCTAGGATGTCACATCCAGCTTTCTGCAAGCCAAAGTAGCTTAGCCTGAGAAAATGGACACTATTATCCTGATAATATTTGCCTAGGATGTCACATCCAGCTCTCTGCAAGTCAAAGTAGCTTAGCCTGAGAAAATGGACACTATTATCCTGATAGTATTTGCCTAGGATGCCACATCCAGCTCTCTGCAGCCTAAGTAGCTTAGCCTGAGAAAATGGACACTATTATCCTGGACTTAGGCCTTCTTTTCTCTTGATGAATATAACAACTGTCCTCTCATTATATTTTTCTTTTCTTCTTTTTTCTAATATAAAATTGGTTAGTAAATTTGTTTAGTCAAGCATAAAGCTTGTTAAGTATCCTTTTCTTCTAATTTAGATTGAGCGGTGGAATTAGGACATCTGTCCAGGGCTGTTGCTAGGGCAGGAGGGTAGCATCCCTGGAGGCAGGGTCAGTCCTCTTCTGCCAGCCTCCTTGCACCAGCCTGGCCAGTTGACATTCGCTGTCTTTTGGGGACAGCAAAATTTAGGGACTGACTGGATTTCCCTTGGAGGATTGTGGAAAGACATTTCCAGGCTTCCGTGTACCCCTCTGCAGGCAGGGAGGGCCCCTTCAGCTTAGGGCTCTGTTTGTAACCCCAGAAGGCAGAGGAGGCTGCCTTTTCTGCCACTGTTCATCTGTAGGCATGAGAGGGGGAGGAGCTGAGTGCCATCCACAGGGCTCCTAAATAACTGTGTGACTTTGGGCAAGTGGCCTCATCTCTCCAGTTTTGTTTCCTTAGCTGAAAGAAATAATGGAGTGAATCTGGAGATGAAGTCTCCAAAGTCCGGGACTCTTAAAATGTCTTGAGAAGAGACATTGTTCCTCATATTGTTCAACAGCAGAGTTGCCAGAGTCATTGTTTGTTGAAGTGTGATTTATGAAGAGAGCGTGACAATTCCTGGCTGTTACCCCACTGAGTGTAAATGGGAAATGATAGCATATTCCATTTGTACTGAGGACTAAGGCACATTTTTGTATTTTTGCGCCCACAGGGTTTTCTTCTTTTTTTTTTTTTTGAGAAGGAGTCTAGCTCTGTCGCCCAGGCTGCAGTGCAGTGGCGCGATCTTGGCTCACTGCAAGCTCCACCTCCTGGGTTCACGCCATTCTCCTGCCTCAGCCTCCGGAGTAGCTGGGACTACAGGCACCCGCCACCACACCTGGCTAATTTTTTTGTATTTTTAGTAGAGGCGGGGTTTCACCGTGTTAACCAGGATGGTCTTGATCTCCTGACCTCATGATCCGCCATCTCGGCCTCCCAAAGTGCTGGGATTACAGGTGTGAGCCACCGTGCCCAGCCCCAGAGCCCACAGGGTTTTCAGAGTGCTCAAGCTAACTCTCTTGCAACTGACAGTGTGTTGTTGAGAGAATTTTTGGAAGATAGCTGCTTTGTTTTAATGGGGCTCAGAATTAAATGTGTGCTTGTCATGCATTGAGCAAGAATTGAGCCAATCCTTAGAATTGATACCACCTACAAAAAGAATATAGCTGCTTTTGAATGTGAGGTTTGTTGGTACAAAGAGTGTGTGAATTTACTTCTGATCAGAGGTGTGAGTATTCATTTGATTGAATTTGGAAGGTGTGGCCTTCTCTCATTTTCTTTTCTTTCTTTTTTTTCTTTTTTTTTTTGAGATGGCTTCTCGCTCTGTCGCCCAGCCTGGAGTGCAATGGCATGATCTCGGCTCACTGCAACCTCCGCCTCCCGGGTTCAAGCAATTCTCATACCTCAGTCTCCTGAGGAGGTGGGATTACAGGCACCCTCCTTTGTGCCCAGCTAATTTTTGTATTTTCCTAGAGATGGGGTTTCGCCATGTTGGCCAGGCTGGTATTGAACTCCTGACCTCAGGTGACCCGACTACTTTGGCCTCCCAAAGTTCTGGGATTACAGGCATGAGCCACCACACCCAGCCCCCTCTCTCATTTTTTGATGGTCACTTTTGTCCACTTTTTTCTAACCTGTTACTCAGAGCTTATGTGGGCAAATTAATACCCTGCCCTGTTGAATGTTTGGCCTGCAGTATATACACTGTGGTTGCAGTTTGAATTTTTCCCTTCTCTGAAAGATTACGCTTGCCCACCTCAAACAAAATATTCCCTGCCACCTTCAGAGCCTTTCTCCAGATTGTGTAGCAACCACCAAGACACAGTGCCTATGAAGTGGCCTTTGGTGTGGTGGTCTCAGTGGAGACAGGCAGAGGTGAAAATGGCACGAGAGGGAAGCCAGGTGTTCTATTGTCTTCGGGTGCATTTGCATGCAAAGTTACCAAGGGCCACAGAGTCATTAGGAGATTAAAATTTAAAACAGGGTATGAACATTGGGTTGAATAACTAAACTGCTTCCAAGAGTGGAAATGCTGGGCCGGGCTCGGTGGCTCACGCCTGTAACTCCAGCACTTTTGGAGGCCGAGGTGGGCGGATCATGAGGTCAGGAGATCAAGATCCTCTTGGCTAACACGGTGAAACCCCATCTCTACTAAAAATACAAAAAATTAGCCGGATGTGGTGGTGGGCGCCTGTAGTCCCAGCTACTCGGGAGGCTGAGGCAGGAGAATCACTTGAACCCAGGAGGTGGGAGGTGGAGCTTGCAGTGAGCTGAGATCGTGCCACTACTGCACTCCAGCCTGGGCGACAGTGTGAGACTCCATCTCAAAAAAAAAAAAAAAAAAAAAGAGTGGAAATGCTGAGGGCAGTAGAGGCAGGATTGCCGAAGGAGCAGAGGTAACCCAATGAGGAGCTTGGTAGTTCCTTGAGAGAAAAGCATAGTGCCGTCTTCCCAGAGTGTATGAAGGGTGAGATGGAGCAGACGTAGTCATCCTTCCATCCATCAGAAGAGTCTGTTCCAGAAAACAGTGACTTCCTGTGCCAAGACATAAAGTGACTTAAGCAAACAAGGAACTGAGGATTGAAGGAAAAAGACTATCTCAATTTTCTGGTATTGATGATAAAAGGGGACTGTGGCTTATTAATCAATTGAGTCTGGTTCCTTACCTTCTCCCTGTGACTGTTAACTTGTTTCTGAAGTGTAAGTTGGAGATAGCATTTGGTATAATCCTGTTAGGATTCCTCTGTTTCCATCCATGGGTCATGCTGTCCTAATTATAGACAACTAGTAGGAAAATGGAGCTCTGATCCCTCCTGTTCTGATGGGCTAAAATACACACATAAACTCATTATACCATCTGGACTAATTTCACTAACCAAATCCCATTAGAAGAAAAGCAAACTATTTGGAAACACAAAATGCAAATAACCACATATGTTCTTTGTAACGTGGCTGACCTGCTGCCGTTCCCTGAGCTTCCTGCATGACGTCCCAACTCACTCAGTGGTCAGAGCAGAAGTCAGGCTGTTGCCCTAACCAAGGCCAAGAGGAGCTGGGATGTGATGTCCTAGACAAAGGGTAGGGCTGGTCAGGGGTCCCCTGTGAGAAGCAGCGTTTCCCAGGGCAAGCTGCTTTGAAAAAGAATCAGAGCCTTCTGACTGCTCTTGGCTCCTAAATACATTTTTTTTCAGGAGTATGTTGAGTTGAATAACTGAGATTTTGGGCATATTACCAGTACTGCATCTGCCACTGGAATGCTGGGCTACTTTAAAAGGAGTTCCACAAGATGGAATTAACAGCTGGGCTAAAAAAAAAATCTGTTGTTCACATCCTTTCCCCTGCTGCACCAAACCTGCCCAAACATGTGACTCATAGCCATTTTGCAGGCCTAATGGCATCTCCAAGCAGCTCACCACAGTGATGAGTTCCTGGCCTACCTGGTCTTTTGCAAGGAACAGGATGGTCTGTGCCTCATTGTTCTAAGAATTCCTCGATTGAGATGTGGCTACTTGTGGAGATCTCACCACTGACATCTATGTCCCCAGTTAAGATGACTCAGATAAATGCTCTGACCTGGTTACCACCTTGTGGTGAGCCCTTGGATGTTGGTCATCTTCACTCACTTGTTTGGGACTGCTGTGCAATAAATGTCACCACCTTTGTCCTCAATGCTGGCAGTTTTGTAAAGAAGCCAAGATTGGAGACTTTCTATGCCTGGGGTGAGGCAAATTGATTAATAACTGTGGGAGGAGGGTGGGGGTGCACAAGCCATCTGTCAGTGCTAGCCGCCTTCTGTGGACAATAGGACCATGATTTCTAAGTGTCCTTTACTAACTTAAGCTGGGGGGAAAAAACTATAAAGGCTGCAGATATAAATCTGAATGGCATATTGTACATGTAGAAATTTGTGGTGTTCACTTTTTATCAGAACTAAATCCGGATTCTGGGGCTGGAGGACAGATAAAGCAGAAGTTGTTAATGGTTACGAAGCAAAGGTAAAAGGAAACTCTTAAAATAAGATTTAATATAGCTATTTAGCTTCTATGCAAATGAGGAATCTGTTCCCATTTTTTTCATGCATCTGTGCCATGGAGATGCTCTGGGGAATGAGAAGTGTCTAATGTGTCTCTCACTTGGATTTTTGATTTTGTCTTATTTGACTTTCAGAAAATGGGATAGCATGCCCTGAGGAGGTCTGTAGCTATGCCAAAGAGAAACAATATTGTAGAGAAATGAGTACAAGTACCAGTTGTTCTGGTAGGAATGACAAGCTAGTCATTCCCTTAATTATTAAAAAGAAAAAAAAGAGGAAGAATTAGACTTCACATGTGTTCAAATATTGTGTAGTAGCTTTTGAGTCTCTTTTCTGTTAAATCAGCTTAATTGTAGTCAGCAGGCTCACAGCCCATTTGCATGACATCAGTGCACTTAAAACATAGTTGTAATCGTGGAGACGATTGTCGATACAGTCATCTGGCATTTTGTCATCTGGAAAGCTCTGTTTCCTGGCCTTTCAGTCCCACAGTACAGCAGGGCTTGATGGCTTTTGGTGATGGAGCCCAGTGCTGCAGGGTCCTCTGGTGGCCTCTGAATGAGCAAAGAAAGTTTACGTCATGCTCAGCAAGACACATTTAGGAGCACTTGTCCTAGTGCTGAGTGTGCTTTCTGCAGCTTTCAATGTTGGGGCTCCTCACGTGGCATAGAGAGAATTCTCTGTTAACTGTTATGTTTGATTTTCTAGATGACCATATTCCCCAGTTATCCTTGATAACAGAGCATTTACTCTGGCAGTTACAATAATTTTTGTCAGTGCATGGAATGCCTTTTAAATAGTGACTTGCTGGTTTTCTCTAAAGCTCGTAAGTCTAGAGAACCTTGTGTTCATACCTTTCTCTTCTGCCCAGCAGATGGCTGTCTGAGTCATACTAGTATTACAAGATTACCAGCAGAGGCGGGGTGCAGTGGCTCACGCCTTTAATCCCAGCACTTTGGGAGGCCCAAGTAGGCAGATCACTTGAGGCCAGGATTTTGAGAGCAGTGTGGCCAACATGGTGAAACCCCATCTCTACTAAAAATACAAAAATTAACCAGACATGGTAGCACACACCTGTAATCCCAGCTACTCTGGAGGCTGAGGCACGAGAATCGCTTGAACCCAGGAGGCGGAGGCTGCAGTGAGCCGAGATCACGCCACTGCACTCCAGCCTGAGCAACAGAGGGAGACTCTGTCTCAAAAAAAAAAAAAAAAAAAAAAAAAAAATTTACCAACAGAAGTACAGGATCCTGGTTTGGGTACCTTAGTTTAATAGAAACCCAGGTGGAAACCTAGATTGCAGGGCATTTGTTTGAGACTGTTTAGCCACAGCAGGGCAAGCAGGAAGATGCAGCTTGTCACTGCTAACTCCTCGGTATTAAAACTGTCAAATACGGGAGGTAACTGCTGATGCATTTTTCAGTTGATAGTTTATATACTTTCTCTGAAGGACCCTAATGATAGTTAACCATTTCTGATTTTTATTTTGCTGGATTGTTTTCTGTTTTTTTGCTTCAGCATTCTTGCTTTTGCTGTGCTTATTTTTGGAGTTTTGATTCCCTGTGTCACTGTTTTCTTTCACATACACCTCTCAGGTTTACACAGTAAACAACGTGAATGTGATCACCAAAATACGCACAGAACATCTGACCGAGGAGGAAAAAAAGAGATATAAAGGTAATCACCACCACCCTACCACCTCCTGTTTTGTTGTTATTTTTTAAGCCTAGAGGGAACTCTTTGTTGGCTCTGTTAAGTTTAGGGTTAATGTGATTGGGATGTGTTAAACCTAACGCTAACTACTTCTCTCTTTTTTTTTTTTTTTTTTTGAGACAAGGTCTCGCCCTGTCACCCAGGCTGGAGTGCAGTGGCGCAATCTCAGCTTGCTGCAATCTCTGCCTCCTGGGTTCAAGTGATTCTCCTGCCTCAGCCTCCTGAGTAGCTGGAATTACAGGCACCCGCCACCACACCTGGTTAATTTTTTGTATTTTCAGTAGAGACAGGGTTTCTTCATGTAGGCCAGGCTGGTCTCGAACTCCTGACATCAGGTGATACTCACTTGCCTCGGCCTCCCAAAGTGCTAAGATTGCAGGCATGAGCCACCGTGCCTGTCCCCTAGCTTCTTTTTATAAAAATTTCTGGGAAGGCATGGTAGCTCACGCCTGTAATCCCAACACTTTGGAAGGCCAAGGCGGGCGAATCACCTGAGGTCAGGAGTTCGAGGCCAGCCTGACCAACATGGAGAAACCCCATCTCTACTAAAAAAAATACAAAATTAGCCAGGTGTGGTGGCACATGCCTGTAATCCTAGCTACTCAGGAGGCTGAGGCAGGAGAGTCACTTGAACCTGGCAGGCGGAGGTTGCAGTGAGCCAAGATCACGCCATTGCACTCCAGCCCGGGCAACAAGAGTGAAACTCTGTCTAAAAAAAAAAAAATTCCTGGCTGGGCACAATGGCTCACACCTGTAATCCCATAATCCCAATACCTTGGGAGGCCAAGGTGGGTAGATCACTTGAGCCCAGGAGTTTGAGACCAGCCTGGCCAATATGGTAAAACCCCATCTCTACTAAAAATACAAAAATTAACCGGGTGTGGTGGCACACTCCTGTCGTCTCAGCTACTGGGGAGGCTGAGGCAGGAGAATCGCTGGAACCTCAGAGGCAGAGGTTGCCGTGAGCCAAGGTTGTCCCACTGCACTCCAGCCTGGGCGACAGAGCTAGACTCTGTCTAAAAAAAAAGAAAAAGGAAAAAAAATTTCCTTAGTCTGACTCATTCTTCAAAATGTTTCCCCATAGTTGGCCTCAACTATAATTAAAGCTATTCATGAGGGCTTGTTTGTGTGTTATCAAGAACAATTGTGGAATTCAGCTAAAAAAGGAGATAAGGATATTTGAGAACATTTATCACTGGAATGAGTGATTTAGTCCAAACTATTGTGATTAAAGATTTAGACAGAACTTGGGATCTAAGCAAAAACATTGCATGTGGTTGCCACATCCCAGCCCCATCCCAGCCCCTCCAACTCTATGGCCTTGTGAAATTACTTCTGCTCTGTGCCTCAGTTTCCTCAGCAGTGAAATGCAGGTGATATCCAACCTTCCTTAGAGTTATTGAGAGGATTAGATGAGTTACGACGTGGAAGCCTTTAGAATGGCGCCTGCAGTATGTGGTAAGCATGCAGTAATTGTTCACCAGCACCACCACCACCATTGCCATTACTCCACTTTGACAGGTGAGGGAACCGAGGCCCAAAACACATGGATAGCGAGTGGCCAAGGTGGGGTTGGAATCCAGGTCTGGCTCACTCCAAAATCCAGACTCTTCCCATTATTCTGCTTTAATTATTACAGCTGTTTATCTGGTTTAGAGATCCTCATGAAAAGCACCCAATAAAGGACAACTTAGTTTATGATTATTGTGAATGATTTGATCAGCCAGTCTGTAATTGCATTTCCTAATGAGGTAGCTTGGACCGGAAACTTTAATGAAGATCTTTTTTTATAGCCACAAGTAAGATATAATATTAGACTTTAAACTTCCCCCCTCTCTGTAGCGGACAGGAACCCGCTGGAATCTTTGCTGGGAACTGTGGAACACCAGTTTGGTGCACAAGGGGTAAGTTGAGGCAATGAGCTTTCATTGCAGTTAGATGAAAGGAAACAACTTGTCTATGCCTGGGATGGCATTTACTGGATCCTGAACAGCCCACTCTTCGTAAAGGCCAAAGATACCCCCAAGCTGGAATTTGAGATACTCTTGGAAGAGAATTAGATGAGTGAATCTTTGAAAACAAAGATTTTAGAGGAGGGGTAGTGATTATAGAAATCAGGTGCTTCCCCTCTTATCCATTATAAACGAGGGGACTCTATAGAAATGGAACTTAAAAAGGACTCAGGACTTTATATTGCAACAGAGCACCTTAACAAATATTTCCTTACTCAGTGCTCACAGTAACTATGTGAACTTGGCACAGTGGATGTCTCTGCGGGACAGAAAAATGACCTTTCCACTGTCAAAGCTAGACAGGGAAACAGCTAGAACTTCAACTCCAAGTCTTCCAAGTCTCATGAACTTTCAGATATTTCTCTTTCTTTCTTTGCTATAATCAGGAGATAAAAATTTAAAGGAGAGTAGAGAAATATTTTGAAATGAAGAAATCCGTTAGACTTGCCATGTAGTTTGGTGATACCCTCATAGATTTTCTTGTTCCATTCAAAAAAGTTAGTGAATAGAACTTCCTGGTCTTAGCTGGTTAACACATCCACCTCAGACACTGAGTGCCGTAGGCCTTCACTTGTGAACATCACTTGGCATTTCTGACTCTCCTGAGTTCTGGCTCAGCAGGACCTCACCACGGAATGTGCTACTGCAAACAACCCTACAGCCATCACGCCTGACGAGTACTTCAATGAAGAGTTTGATCTGAAAGACAGGGACATTGGAAGGCCGAAAGAGCTGACGATTAGAACACAGAAGTAAGAGAGGTTCAGCTGCCATTTTCAACCTATGTATGTTTCAGAAATTGTGCTGTTTTATGGTGTTATGTTGAATCATTCCACTGCTCCCCCACCCAACTTTTTTTACGGGGGAGACGGAGTCTCGCTCTGTTGCCTAGGCTGGAGTGCAGTGGCACAAACTTGGCTCACTGCAACCTCTGCCTCCCAGGTTCAAGCAATTGTCCTGCCTCAGCCTCCTGAATAGCTGGGACTACAGGCACGTGCCACCATGCCCAGCTAATTTTTATATTTTTAGTAGAGACAGGGTTTCCCCATATTAGTCAGGCTGGTCTCGAACTCCTGACCTCATGATCCGCTCGCCTAGGCCTCCCAAAGTGCTGGGATTACAGGCATAAGCCACTGCTCCCGGCCTCCTCTGCCCCTTTTTATAAAAAATAATTTTAAAATTACTTTGCCATGAAAGCCAACAGTAGATTGTTCATGTTATTAGCTCTTTTCCAAATAGAATCTAGATTGGATGTAAGAATGCCTTTTTTTTTTTTTTAACTGCTAACCAGCTTCAGCTGATCAAATTCATATGAAACTGTTTCCACCCACTATCATTTCTTCATGCTTGCTGTCAATTAAGACTTGGATAGTGGCAGGTTGTCATGCAAGTCGCTTGCCTTGATTTCCAGATTTTAGGGTGATGTGAATTCCTCGTCTCCCTAGACATTTGACCTTTAATAGGTCCGAATTAAGAGATGACTGGACAGAGTGTAGAGTAAGGCTGCTGTTGTCTAGCCTACTGCATAGCAGTAATCTCCTTTTCCCATCTGGTGGAGATGGCCTCAGTCTTTTCTCGGTTGAATTCTGCAGGTTTAAAGCAATGCTGTGGATGTGTGAAGAGTTTCCCCTCTCTCTCGTGGAGCAGGTCATTCCCATCATTGACCTAATGGCTCGAACGAGTGCTCATTTTGCAAGACTGAGAGATTTCATCAAATTGGAATTCCCACCTGGATTTCCTGTCAAAATAGGTACTGCTAAATAAACTTCAGCAACACTTGGAGGTTCTGCCCATGTTTGTGGGTGGCAGCATGTGGGTGGTGGGATGCTTCAGGGAATTGGAATGCTTTAGGTCAAAGTAGCTTATAGACATAATGGAGGAGGTGAGAGTTCTCCTGTGGTTTAATTTGATTTAAAGAAGTGTTATGATTGGTGGTTCATTTTGCATATCAAAATCAAGAGATCTCCAACCATCATTTCTATTTGCAAATGGTGCTGACAGATGTTAAAAGGCATAAAAACATGACACAGTCATTGTTTTAATGTCAAACCTTACTTCAATGAGACTTCAAATTAGATAATTATTTGAGGAAGACAGTTGACACCAAGATTCTTTGATACATAAATATGATCTACATCCCAAGCTAGTATGCATAAAGTATGCATAATGCTGTATATATGTGTGTGTGTGTATATATATATATCTCATACATACTACTCATGAAGAGTATTAATTTTGGATAGTTGTATGTTCATGATGCTTGAACCCTAGCTCGATCACTTACTCACTGTGATCTAGGAGAAAGTACATAACCCCCTTTTTTTTTTTTGAGACGGTGTCTCACTCTGTTGCCAAGGCTGGAATGCAGTGACATGATCTTGGCTCACTGCAACCTCCACCTCCCAGGTTCAAGCAATTTTCCTGCCTCAGCCTCCTAAGTAGCTGGGATTATAGGCATACACCACCACGCCCAGCTAATTTTTGTATTTTTAGTAGAGATGGGCTTTTATCATGTTGGTTAGGCTGGTCTCGAACTCCTAACCTCAGGTTATCAGCCCGCCTTGGCCTCCCAAAGTTCTGGGATTACAGGTGTGAGCCACCGCGCCCAGCCGAAAATACGTAATTCTCAGTCTCAGTTTTCCCATCTGTGTATTGGGGAGGGTTGTTATGAGGCTTATATAAAATTATACTTATCAAAGTACTTGGCATAGTAAGCACTTAGTAAATGATAACTATTATTGTTATTCTTAGTAAAATTTACTTATAAAAGTTTTTATTTTGTTAGAAATTCCCTTGTTTCATGTCTTAAATGCACGGATTACATTTGGAAATGTTAATGGCTGTAGCACTGCCGAAGAATCTGTATCTCAAAATGTGGAAGGGACCCAGGCTGATTCAGGTAAAAAAATAAATTAAAAGTTTAGTTTTGTTATTTAAAAAAAATTTTATGGCTGGGCATGGTGGCTCATGTCTGTAATCCCAGCACTTTGGGAGGCCGAGGCGGGTGGATCACCTGAGGTTGGGAGTTCGAGACCAGCGTGACCAACATGGAGAAAACCCGTCTCTACTAAAATATAAAATTAGCCAGGTGTGGTGGCACATGCCTGTAATCCCAGCTACTCGGGAGGCTAAGGCAGGAGAATCACTTGAACCCGGTTGGGGGTGGGGGGGCGCAGAGGTTACCGTGAGCTGAGACTGTGCCATTGTACTCCAGCCTGGGCAACAAGAGCAAAACTACATCTCAAAAAAAAAAAATTTATAATTCAGTCATCATATTCATAATTCACTCTGAAGCTGGAATATCTGAGGGAGTCTGTGTTGGATGAAAGAAAACTTTAGATTTAGTTTAGATTAAGCAAATAAAAACTTGTAGTATATGTATGATCCTAGTTATATTAAAAAGACAGGATGTTCTTAAAAATCAGCTTTATTGAGGTGTAATGTACATACAATAAAATGCTCTCATTTTAAGTGTGACGGTTCAGTGCATTTTTTTTTTTTTCTCGAATACAGAGTCTCACTCTGTCACCTAGGCTGGAGTGCAGTGGCACAATCTCTGCTCACTGCAGCCTCTGCCTCCCAGGCTCAAGCAATTTTCTTGCCTAGTCTCCCAAGTATCTGGGAATACAGGTGTGTGCCACCATGCCTGGCTGATTTTTATATATTTATTAGAGACTGGGTTTCACCATGTTGGCTAGGCTGGTCTGGAACTCCTGACCTCAAGTGATCCACCCACCTCGGCCTCCCAAAGTGCTGGTGTGAGCCACCATACCCAGCCACATTTTGACAAATGTATGCATCTATGTAACCACCACCACAGTCAAGATAGACAGCATTTCCATATGCCCCCAAATTTCCTCACGCTCACTTGCCGTCAATACAATTCATGTTTTTAGATGCAATTGTAAACGGACTTATTTTCTTACTTTCATTTTCCAATTACTAGTATATAGAAATATTATTGAGTTTTGTATTTTGACCTTGAATCCTTTTTAAAAATTTTTTTAATCTTTTTTTTTCTTGCACAATTGCATGGCCGGGATTGACCTTGTTTATCTTGTAACATGGCTGAATTTACTTGTCTTACACTTTTTTGTAGATTTCTTAGAATTTCTTACATATATGGTCATGTTGTCTATTAATAAAGAAAATTTTACTTTTTCCTTTCCAATCTTTAAACTTTTTATTTCTTTTTCTTGACTTATTGGACTGACTAGGACATCTAGTACAATGTCAACTAAGAGGGGTAGGAATGGCTATCCTTCTCTTGTTCCTGGTTCTAGGGGAGGAAGGATTGTTATGCCATTAGGTTTGATGTTATCTGTGTAGGTTTTTTGTAAATGTCCCTTATTAGTTGAAGGACATTATTCTCTTATATTTCTAGTTTGCTGAGAGTTATTACCATTTTTAAGTATTAATTTTTGTGAGATGCATTTTCCGCAACTATTGTGATGGTCGTATGTTTCTCCCCTATAGTCTACCAATAGGAGGAATTAAAAGATAGCATTTTAATGTATATAAATTAAGACTTCAAATGAAAACAATTGAACTCAACAATAATATACAACTTTACGTTCCCATGTGGCAATAAAGTTGGGTGATACGTGTTCATGAGGTTGTGCAGCTGAGGAACACTCATGTACTCTTGGCAGGAAGAGGAGATCGGTATAGTTCTTGAAGAAAACATTTGGCATTACTGTGTAAACTGAAGATGTGTATGACCTACCAATTCCTAGATGTGTACCTAAAGAAACGTATGCACATGAGCATCTGGAGACCCCAGTACTGGGCAGCAGCATCCACTCATAACAGCAGAAACCTGGAAACAACCCAGATGTCCTGAGATGGTAGAATGTGCTATTGTGCTCTATTAATACAACAGAATAACATATAGTATTGAAAATAAACATTTATAGCTATGTGCGTCAAGACTGTTGAATTTCAAAAGCATAATGTTGAATGAAGAAAATCCAATTTGAAGAATAAATTCCAATGATCCATTTATGTCGAGTTCACAAACAGGCTAATGCAAACTGTTAGGATGATATACATGTGGCAAACTCCAGAGAAGAGCTAGGCAGTGTAAACAACTATTCTGAATTATGTATTTACCTCTGGAGAGGAAGAAGGGGATATTGTTAACAAGGGATGTGCCTGTGGTATGTTATTGATAGTATTCTTTTTTTTTTTTTTTTTTGAGATGGAATCTCGCTCTGTCGCCCAGGCTGGAGTGGAGGGCAGTGGCGCGATCTTGTCTCACTGCAAGCTCTGCCTCCCGGGTTCACGCCATTCTCCTGCCTCAGCCTCCCGAGTAGCTGGGACTACAGGCGCCTGCCACCACGCCCAGCTAATTTTTTCTTGTATTTTTAGTAGAGACAGGGTTTCACCGTATTAGCCAGGATGGTCTTGATCTCCTGACCTTGTAATCCGCCCACCTCAGCCTCCCAAAGTGCTGGGATTACAGATGTGAGCCACTGTGCCCGGCAGTTATTGATAGTGTTCTGTGTCTTAGGTGAAGGGCACACAGGCATTTGTTTTATTATTATCATTTTTGAGTGTTCAGATATTTTATAGATACTATCTTTTATATATTTACCATGTATCTTCGTGCAAAAAGAAGAAACACATTGGTGTGACTGTGCATATGTGTTTAGAGGGAGAAATCTTCGCTTTTCATTTCACAGCCTTGTGTATTTTTTATGACTATGTATTCATATTTTCCACTAAAATCAAGGAAAAAGAAAAAAGCTGTATTCTGTCACTTTTTTCTGTCATGCTTCCTCAGAATCTCTCATATAATAGTAAGCCTTGATTATTATAATTTTGAGCCTTTCTTTTTTTTCTAATGTAAAACATTTTTGCAAAAAATTGGAGTGAAAATGTAATGAACTCAGACACTGGACGGTTGCCTTTTGTGTTTCAGCTTCCCACATCACAAACTTTGAGGTTGATCAATCTGTGTTTGAAATTCCCGAATCTTACTATGTTCAAGACAATGGCAGAAATGTGCATTTGCAAGATGAAGATTACGAGATAATGCAGTTTGCCATCCAGCAAAGTCTGCTTGAGTCCAGCAGGAGCCAGGTGGGTTTATCAGAATAAATGGCAGGCCTTGGGAGGTCTTACCCTCTGGGTTAGCCTCAGTGTTTGGCTAATCTGAAAGATTTATTCTAAATATCAAGTTTGACACATTCATGGTATTTGCATAGGTTGTACTTTGTGCATCTGGTCTTCTTACAAAAGCTTGTTATGTAAGAGATCGTCTACATAATCCCAGTCAGCACCATTCACAAGATGTCTTCAGGCAGACTTTCCTTTTCCTCATTTTCATGCACATAGCTTGTAATTCTGTACTTTTCAAGATGTGCTTCATTTTCTAGTACTGAAGCAGTAAATTCCTGCTGAATCACACCATCATATTTTCCCTGAAGGATTACCTATGTGTCTGTAGTCTCAGATGAAGGTCGTGAAGTGGATTTGAATCCCACTCCCTCCACAAACGGTATCATCTCCCTAAACTCTCTCTGGGTCTCTAGTGAAACAGAAAATGAAGGACGGGACAGACCTGTGTAAGCTGTAGGCTGTGTGTGTGTGTGTGTGTGTGTGTGTGTCTTTTTGTTGTTTTGTGTGTGTGTGTGTGTGTCTTTTTGTTGTTTTGTGTGTGTGTGTCTTTTTGTTGTTTTGTGTGTGTGTGTGTGTGTCTTTTTGTTGTTTTGTGTGTGTGTGTGTGTGTGTGTGTGTGTGTGTGTGTGTGTGACTTTTTGTTGCCCAAGTTGGAGTGCAGTGGCTATTCCCCGGCATGATCATATTGTACCCTAAAACTCCTGGGGTCAAGAGATCCTCCCACCTCAGCCTCCCAAGTAGCTGGGACTAAAGTCATGCACCACTGCACCCAGTAGAACAGTTGCCTTTTATTGTCGTATGTGGTTCTCCCTCCATGCCTCACCTACCTGGGACAGTCCAAGGCTTGAGGTCCTCCTCCCCTAACATCAACTCCTTCCATCTCCTTCCTTCTGTGGCTCCTGGCTCTACTAGGGTAGGGTCTGGTCTGCCTCCAGCACCCTCTGGTATGTCCTGGGTTCCTGCAGTCCATTTATTTGTTTGTTTCTTTGTTTGTTTATTTTTTGAGACGGAGTCTCTCTCTCTGTCGCCCAGGCTGGAGTGCAGTGGCGTGATCTCAGCTCACTGCAAGCTCTGCCTCTGGGGTTCATGCCATTCTCCTGCCTCAGCCTCCCGAGTAGCTGGGACTACAGGCGCCCACCACCATGCCTGGCTAATTTTTTGTATTTTTAGTACAGACGAGGTTTCACCATGTTAGCCAAGATGGTCTCCATCTCCTGACCTCATGATCTGCCCGTCTCGGCCTCTCAAAGTGCTGGGATTACAGGCGTCAGCCACCGCGCCTGGCCCATTTATTTGTTAATTGACTTTTTCTTCCATTCTTCATTCAGATTTTGCAGAGTACCTTCTTTGTGCCAGCCTCTGTGCCAGGTGCTGGGAATTCTCTGGGAAGCAGTCCCTGCCTTCACAGGGCTGCTGCTTTGAAAATAGTGCTCACACTCCAGCGTTCTCACTGGTTTAAGCTTGTAGCTTTCTGGTTCTATTCCTGAGTCTTAGTGCTTGTGTAATGTGAGTCTACCTCCTCCACTTCCCCCTGCCACCACCATGGCCCCATTCCCAGACCTATTCAGTTTTCCAAGCCAGACCCCAAAGCAAGCATGTTCCCTTTGGGAGGCCTCCTGGGAGAAGACCCCTGGACATCACCATCAGCCTGGTATGCTTTTCCTTTCCCTATGTAAGTGAGCTTAGCTCCCCTCGCCAGCTCCCAAGAAGCTTCATAAACCTTGTTGACCATAAGTTTTAACAAGGGGAGTAGCCAAAGTCAAAGACTACCAATATTGAATTATGTCTTCTAATCTTGCCCTAGAAGAATTATTGGCCGGGTGCAGTGGCTCATGCCTATAATCCCAGCACTATGGGAGGCCAAGGTGAGAGGATTGTTTGAGCCCAGGAATTTGAGACCAGCCTGGGCAACATAGTGAGATCCTATCTCTACCAATATATATATATATTTTTTTTAATTTTTGAGGCAGAGTCTCACTCTTTTGCTCAGGCTGGAGTGCAAGGGCACAATATTGGCTCATTGCAGCCTCTGCCTCCCAGGTTCAAGTGATTCTCATGCCTCACCCACCTGAGCAGCTGGGATTACAGGTGGGTACCACCAGACCCAGCTAATTTTTGTATTTTCAGTAGCGATGGGTTTTCACCATGTTGTCCAGGCTGATCTCAAACTCCAGGCCTCAAGTGATCTGCCAGCCTTGGCTTCCCAAAGTGTTGGGATTATAGGTGTGAGCCACTATGCCTAGCCTCTACCAAAAAATTTTAAAAGCCAACTATGGTGTTTTGCATCTGTATTCCCAACTAGTCAGGAGGCTGAGGTGGGAGGATTTCTTGTGCCCGGAGGTCAAGGCTACAGTGAGCTACGATCACACCACTACCCTTGAGCCTGGACAACAGAGTGCGACCCTGTCTCTAAAAAAACAAAAACAGGCCGGGCGTGGTGGCTCAAGCCTGTAATCCCAGCACTTTGGGAGGCCGAGGCAGGTGGATCACGAGGTCAGGAGATCGAGACCATCCTGGCTAACATGGTGAAACCCCGTCTCTACTAAAAATACAAAAAACTAGCCGGGCGTGGTGGCGGGCGCCTGTAGTTCCAGCTACTTGGGAGGCTGAGGCGGGAGAATGGCGTGAACCCGGGAGGCGGAGCTTGCAGTGAGCCGAGATCACGCCACTGCACTCCAGCCTGGGAGACACAGTGAGACTCCGTCTCAAAAAAAAAAAAAAAAAAAAACAAAAAAAAAAAAACAAAAACAGAAACCTGCTTTGGTCACTTGAACTTTGCCCAAGGTCAGCTGTGTTTCTGTTTTTCGTTGTGTATATCTTCCACTTGGGTTAGCTGTATTTAAGAGATGGATTTTGTGAGAAGGATGAGAAGGCTGTGGCTGTGAGTTAGGCTGTGGCATGTTATTAGCTGCCACTTAGGTGTTGTTTTTGAGGTAACCCAAGTCCCTGTTAGGTAGCACTATCGATAATGGTCATGGAAAGACTTTTAATTTGGTTCTTGCTGCCATTGTTTCCTTTCCAGAATGGCACCAATTTCTCCTAAGACATATTCATGTCTATCATATTTGTCTTTGCCAGGAACTTTCAGGACCAGCTTCGAATGGAGGGATCAGCCAGACAAACACCTATGACGCCCAGTATGAGAGGTGATTGACTGATGTGACTGTGGATTAAACCAGGATGGACACAGGCCTGGACACAGGCGGGCAGACGTGTGGCACTGTGCATTTGGTCCCCGGGCAGATGCACGGTGCCACACACTGGCAGGAAAGACTAGAAAAAGTAGGCCGGGCGCGGTGGCTCACGCCTGTGATCCCAGCACTTTGGGAGGCCGAGGCAGGCAGATCATGAGGTCAGGAGATCAAGACCATCCTGGCTAACATGGTGAAACCCCGTCTCTACTAAAAAAAAAAAATACAAAAAATTAGCTGGGCATGGTGGCGGGCACCTGTAGTCCCAGCTACTCGGGAGGCTGAGGCAGGAAAATGGCGAACCCGGGAGGCGGAGCTTGCAGTGAGCCGAGATCATGCCACTGTACTCCAGCCTGGGTGACAAAGCGAGACTCCGTCTCAAAAAAAAAAAAAAAAAAAAAAAAAAAAGACTAGATAAAGTAATTGGCTCTCCTGCTTCCTCTTGTGGCAGTTACTTATTATAATAACTCTGGACTTGATAGCAAGTTTCCAGGAATGGGTGATAGAATTTCTGACTGGTTCACAGGTCAGTGCCATTGGGGGAAAGGTACTGAGTCAGTGTTTTCTGATTGGTTTGATCTTCTGTGAATGATGTATGACCACAGGGCCTAGATGTCCTCAGTGGAAAGTTTATATAATTGTAAAGATAAGGAAGTTTGTGGGAACAGCTGCAGAGATTTAGGGAAAAACTGCAAGGATTCATTTTACGAAGACTTTTTATATATTTAAGGTGTCTGTGAGAGCCCACTGATGAAGAACCTGTTTTGCTTTAAAACAGATCCAAGTTCAATTCCCAGCCCTATCACTTACTGGTCGGGTGGTCTTGGGCAGGAGTGTGGGGTTTCTCACCTGTATACAGCACTTACACCCCCAGAGTTATGTGGGATTAAATGGCATCATGCATATTAAATGCCTGGCACAGTATGCCCTTGGTAAGCAGTTAAGAAATGTAGTTACTGCTGCCACCATGATGATAGTAGTGACTCTCCCTTTTTATCTGTTTTCCAACCCAGGGCCATCCAGGAGAGCCTCCTCACCAGCACAGAAGGCCTGTGCCCCAGTGCCCTGAGCGAGACAAGCCGTTTTGATAATGACTTGCAGCTGGCCATGGAGCTCTCTGCCAAAGAGCTGGAGGAACGGGAGCTCCGGCTCCAGGAGGAAGAGGCTGAGCTCCAGCAAGTCTTACAGCTGTCACTCACTGACAAATAGACCTTTTGGCCTGTGGGTTGCACAGAGCAGAGGCTCTGGGCTGTCACAGATGCTGTGTCAACCAGAGCCCCGGGGCTGAGGGCCTGCACCTTGTGTGCGTGCAGCAGACAACAGCTGCCCCTTCTTTATGCAGAGGTGCAGAACCAGGGACTCCCAGGCCCATCCAGGCCACTCCCTGGGGTGGAGAAGGGACCAGGGATTGCAGGCCCCATCTCCAGGCTAAGGGGAGGAGAGCATCATCACTTTCCATTAGCTGTATTGGCTTGCAGGTCACATTTTTACTACCAGCTTTAGACAAAACCCCAATCCCCGCAGGTTTGTAGATCAATTTTTATCAAGGAGTGATAACAAAACAAGTTATTGCAGAGTCAGGGTGCTTTTATATATGAGAGCAGCAGCCGCCTTTGTAAAGTGTGGTCTATGAGAATTGGAGACACATCTTTACTGTTCACCAAAGAAATGGGTAATCTGTGCTGATCTACTCCTTATTTTTACCTTTTTACAGGGTTTCTAGGATATTGTCATTATTCTTCCTTCATCTCTATCTGATTCCATTCCTTCCACACCCAGCTAAAGTTAGAGGAGATACATATAGAATCTATTTTAGATTATTGTTAACTATTTGCATCAAATTAAGATACACAAATGGCCATGGATGTTGCCTTCGCCTTAAACATTACTAATAGTTTCACATCACCTCACTGCACGCATCGAGGGATCTGATTTGAATTTGTAAAGGCAATTCTTTTGAGAGCAGGATTCTCCAGGCTAAATCAAAGGCAGCTAATCCTGTCCCTGAAGGAGCAGCTAGGGGAACCTGAGGCTTGTTCTTGAAGTGGGCAAGCTGGCCAAAATATTGGAACACACAGAACCAAACCAGGTGCGTTCCACACCTGCACGAGTGAAGGATTTCCACATAGACACCTAGGAAGAACCCACTGCATGCCCTAGACTCACTCCAGAGGAAGGATGGATTTGCAACCAGAAAGGGAGCTGAAAACCACGGAGCTCCATGGCTCTTCATTCAAAAGGGAAAATGATGATTCCACGTTGCTTTTCAGAGTTCAAATCAACATCTTTCTGAATAAATCTATTTTTTAACAGAATCTTTTTATTATTTGTAAAAGATATAAAAACAACTATTCCCATCAGTAGCAATACAAGGTTATACATTTTAACCAGATTTTCTCAGGCCTTTTTTGGATACCTTTAGTAGTTAACTCTCTTTTGTCAAACCCTCCTGTAAATAACCATCGCACAACATACAGAAGCCTGGGGAATACAGCCAAGGGCACTGCTCACTGTGGCCCATGTATTCGTTCCCACAGGCTGCACTGAAATAACTTGGTAAACAGTACCCTCCTCCATTTTGTGTCTGTTTCCTCTGTTGTGCTTCTTTGGGGATAGGAAGACAAACATAACTACTATTCCAGGTGTTGCCAGTGAAACGTTCCCAGACACAAAGAATTGTGCTTTTAATTCCATGTCACCATTTGCCTTTTTTTTTTTTTTTGTCATGGTCTGACCAAAATTCCTTCCCTGCACAGCAGGCCAGTATAGGCAACGCCACATTTGTTTCAAATACGCAATGTGGCATTTTGTTTACTTCGCATTTGCCATGAGCAAAAACACTTCTTGGAATGGCTGCAGCGAGGCTGTGTCATTGGCTTACAAAGGTGACTCATAGGTAATTTCTGTGTTTGCATTCCACTGCTCTGCTCCCTAAGGTCCTTGACTTTCTCCCCTGGAATTCACTTAAAAAAGGACTGAGCATTGTGTCAACCTGTTGCAGCGTTTTTCATATATGTGTTCACTCTAAAAATGCAAATAAAGACGGCTTCCTTAGAGGGTGCTCATACAATATTCCAGTCTTTGAGTCTTTTTTCTTTCCAGTTTTTTCTAGTCACTGGATGTAGTGACCACACTTCCTGTTACGTATGTCAGTAGAACATTAGAATGCCTCACATTGCTCAGTTCATCACTGCAAAGGTGGCATGCTGCTCCCAGCCTTCCTGCCCAGGTTAACAAGCCCCACGCTGCTTATTTCAAATGGAAACTAAAAGCAAGCCAGTGTTGGGCTGTTCTGACACCCCTGGGTTCCTCCTGGAGGTAAACTGGCTCTTGTAGGGTAAGGGAAGCCCAGCCAACATCAAAGCTCTGCATCAATGCTATCCCTTGAAGCCAAGTGCTTTATGAGGCTGTTCCTAGAAGTCCAGATGATAAGGCTTCCAAACTCTTCCTATACCTAAATATGTTGGCATTAAAAACAACGGCAGTGGCCAGTAGAAACGTGTGGGTTCCAAAAATGAGGCTGTATTTCTGGGAAGATGTAAAGGAGCTGCTTTGCTTTTGGGGGAAAGTAGATATCAATACTTGAAGCTACAAGAACACTATGAAGAAAAACATTACTCCTTCAGGTCAAGGGGTGCAATGACTATGGATTATTTAAAAACTGAAAAGCTAAGCTTAGGTGGCCCAATATCAGCAGAAAGTTTTTATTTTGTTTTTCTGAGACGGAGTTTCGCTCTTGTTGCCCAGGCTGGAGTGCAATGGCGTAATCTCGGCTCACTGCAACCTCCGCCTCCCGGGTTCAAGCAATTCTCCTGCCTCAGCCTCCTGAGAAGGTGGGATTACAGGTGTGTGCCACCATGCCCAGCTTTTTGTATTTTTAATAGAGACAGGGTTTCACCATGTTGGCCAGGCTGCTCTCAAACCCCTGACCTGAGGTGATCCACCTGCCTCGGCCTCCCAAAGTGCTGGGATTACAGGCATGAGCCACCGCGCCCGGCCAGAAACTAATTGAGCAATTTCTGCACGTTAGACACTGCTAGGAACTAGGTTCTAGACACTGCTAGAACTTAGGTTCTATAAACAAGCTTGTCACACTACATAAACGTGGCATGTCAAGGAAGTGGAAGTCTGCTCTAAATAATGACAGGAAAGGGAAACTGTCACAACTGCCAGCTTGGTCACAGTCTCCTGCTGACCATAAATGACATCAAGGAAGATGAACTGGATATGGAAATTTCCAGTGATTCTGTGGTGCAATGAATGATGGAGTTCAAAGTACCACCTAGACCTCTGTTTAGAAATATATAGGTTTAAGCCTGAGGTCCAGGTGGAAAAAAATACAACATGCTGATATGACTCCACAGCCACTAAATCACAGGCAACACTAGGAGACTTCCTAATCTCAACTTTAGGCCAGGTGCAGTGGCTCATGCCTGTAATCCCAGCACTTTGGGAGGCCGAGGCGGGTGGATCACCTGAGGTCAGGAGTTTGAGACCAGCCTGGCCAACATGGTGAAACCCGATGTCTACTAAAATACAAAAAAATTAGCCGGGCATGGTGGCTCATGCCCATAATCCCAGCTACTCCGGAGGCTGAGGCAGGAAAATCGCTTGAACCCAGGAAGTGAAGGTGGCAGTGAGCTGAGACCACACCATTGCACTCCAGCCTGGGCAATAGGAACCAAACTCCATCTCGGAAAAAAAAAAAAAGAAAAAAAAAAATTTCACTTCACAGAGCTTCTTTAAGTGATTAGATCAAATTCAAACATACCCACATTTCAAACACTTGGGAAATAATTGGTGGAGTAAAACAATATATAGGATTTTACTTTAATTTTAATTGACATTTTGCTCAAAAGCACAGAACAGTGAACATTTCAATGGCTCAATGTTACAAGATTACAAACAAAATCCCTAAGTTAAACAGTTATAGTATCCTGCTTCAGTTATTTCACATTAAATGCAGGTTGTTAAAATCAGTGCTGTGCTTGAACACAAGATAAGCATTTCAATTTAATAACAAAATTAAATCTAGCACCTTGAAATAAATATTGACGACCGCTTTATAAGTATGAAAGTATTATTTCAATAGGAGGAAAAAATCCAGTTCACCAACAGTGCAAACTAATAGCAGCATTTTCAAAGCGGAGATGAAATTTGTGTAAACACACACTGGCGGGCACAGTGGACATGCACTTCTGGCTGGGCCCTCCCCACCCAGGGATGAACAGAGCGCCTGCTGAGCCTTTTACATTCCAAATCTGGAAAGCTACCTCAAGTTTCAGACCGTGGGCTATACAGACTCAAATGCAGGGCAACGGAGATCAATGTGTTTAAGCAGGATGGGGTCCTTTTTTGTGAGAGGCCAACCTAGTAACATTTCCAGTCCAACCCCAGAGCCTTCCAGGCCAAAGGTGCATGTAGTAACAGGTACTACCTGATGTGACCCTGATTTCAGGGGGAGCACCTGAGTGCAGGGCCGGATGCAGGTAAGGAATGAGGGCCCAAGTTCCCCACAGCTGACACCACTTTGCAACCAGCGCATTCTAGGCCAACTCAAGTGAGATTAAAAAAAAAAAAAAAAAAATTCTGTGATTCTTAACCCACTGTAACCAAATGGTTCTTAAATAGGGAATGTCTACATGGTAAGTCTCCCTCTGTTAACATTTTCAAGCATTAATGATGAGTTCTTTCCAGTGTGGTTCTTACAGGCACTCACAAGGTGAATGTTTTCTTTCTCATGAACACTCCATCTTTACACTGACCTTTGGAGCTTTCAGGTCTTACTTTTAACAAGTACAGTCAGAAACACTGAGAAGCAGATTCGGGGCCAATTATTTGCACTACAGTGTTAGGAAAAAATAATTTCTAGTAGATGTTTTCTTCTAATTCATTTAGCGTTTACCAACTGTCCAGACCAAAGGTCATTTCCAAGTAGGAAAGTTTTGATTCCAACTTCTCCACTGACCCGTGTGCAACACAACTTATCCTATTCCCAAATACTCATTGAAGAACTTGTCTGGCTGTCACCGACGCCGAATGGGCTTGTAGACACAAAATGCCATAAGGATGACAGTCACCAGCAGGATGCTGAAAATGGTTCCCATCAACACTGCAAAGGGAAAACAGGTTACTTCCTAATGGCAGCTCCAGGTTAGGCAATTCATCCACTCACTGCCAATGATTTATCAAATGCCACTTGCTGCCACGCACTATGTCAGGTGCTGTGCAAACAGCTGTAAACAGATCCTCTCTCCAGTTGTCTCTATGTATAGTGGGGGGGAGAAACAAACAGGTGAGAGCATTTCACATATCTTGATATACCATGAAAAAAACAGTAATGGGCTAGGGATGGAGACGGGGTGGGCAGCAGGAGGTAGGACAGTCAGGAAGCATCCGAGGAGGAGACTCACAAGCTGAGACAGGCCGAGTGTGGTGACTCATGTCTGTAATCTCAGCACTTTGGGAGGCCTAGGTGGGTGGATCACTTGAGGTCAGGAGTTCGAGACCAGCCTGGCCAATATGGTGAAACCCCATCTCTACTGAAAATACAAAAATTGGCCAGGCATGGTGGCAGGTGTCTATAGTCCCAGCTACTTAGGAGGCTGAGGCAGGAGAATCGCTTGAACCCAGGAGGCGGAGGTTATAGTGAGCCGAGATTGCACCACTGGGAGACAGAGTGAGACTCCATCTCAAAAAAAAAACCAAAAAAACTGGGACCTTACGAGTGAGGCTCTGCAGGGAGCGTGCTGCAGTCCCAGGGATCAGCTAGGGAAGGGCCTTGAGGCCAGTATAAGCTCAACACACTCAGTGAACAGAAGGGAGGCAACCAGGCAAAGAGTGCAGGAAGAGAGGCAGGAAATCAGGCCAGAGAGGAAGGCTGGGGCCGGTCTGTACAGGGCCTTGGAGACCATGAAGGAAACATGGATTTTAAGTTTAAAGAGAAGCTACTGGCAGGTTGTAGGCAAAGGAATGACATCATCTGATTTAGTTGGGAAAAAATATTCCTCTGGCTTTTGTGTGGAGAATTGTCCGATTATAGTGGGGCAAGAGAGCAGGATGCCCAACTATACCTTTAAAGCCATTAATAAAAATCTGGAGACTTAATGAAGTATTTCAGTCTCAAGATGAGTCTCAACAGGGCCTTATGAGCAAAGAGGCAACTAACCCACAAATCTGTTATGTTTGGCCGGGTACGGGGGCTCATGCCTGTAATCCCAGCACTTTGGGAGGCCGAGGCAGGCGGATCACGAGGTCAGGAGTTCGAGACCAGCCTGGCCAATATGGTGAAACCCTGTCTCTACTAAAAATACAAAAAAATTAGCTGGGCATGGTGGCGTGCGCCTGCAGTCCCAGTTACTCTAGAGACCGAGGCAGGAGAATCGCTTGAATCCAGGAGGCAGAGGTTGCAGTGAGCCAAGACTATGCCACTGCATTCCAGCATGGGCAATAGAGGGAGACTCCGTCTCAAAAAAAAAAAAAAGAAAAGAAAAGAACTGTTGTTTTTAAGACTAAATTTCACAACTGAAATTTTCAAGGTGCTCAGGTGAGAAACGGGAACTACAACTGATTACTCAAGTTGAGCCCTGGAGGTACAGGATAAGGACCTGGGCTTTAAACTACTTCATAACAAAAAAGAAAAAAATAAACTAGCATAACCAGCAACCATTCAGAGGTTTATTCAATAGCAGCAGTGATATGCAATCTTGTTTCTGTGACTATCTCAGTGATCTTGAGAAGCATTCAAAACTAGCAAATGTACACTGACGTGTGTCTGTAGCGATGTGGGCCCATCCCAGGTTTCAGCTGGGGCCTAATCATAGTTGTTTTTCAGTCTCATTACTGTTCCTTTGAAAAACTAAGATTTAGTCAGGCGAGGTGGCTCATGCCTGTAATCCCAGTACTTTGGGAGGCCAAGGCAGGCAGATCACGAGGACAGGAGATTGAGACCAGCCTGGCCAACATGGTGAAACCCCGTCTCTACTAAAAATACAAAAATTAGCTGGACGTGGCGGCGGGCACCTGTAATCCCAGCTACTCAGGAGGCTGAGGCAGGAGAATCGCTTGAATCCTGGAGGCAGAGGTTGCAGCGAGCCCAGATTGCACCATTGCACTCCAGCCTGGGCGACAGAGCGAGACTCCATTAAAAAAAAAAAAAAAAAAAAAAAAAAACAAGATTTGATCATAGTTTTACTCAAATCAGTAACTCTGCAGTATCTGTGACACCCCCCCCAACATACCCTCCACGCTTAAAACAGTTATTATTTTAAAACCGACTATACAGAAAAATCAGGCCAGGTGCGGTGGCTCAGGCCTGCAATTCCAGCACTTTGGGAGACCAAGGCAAGCAGATCACCTGAGGTCGGGAGTTTGAGACCAGCCTGACCAACATGGAGAACTGAAGAAACCCTGTCTCTACTAAAAATACAAAATTAGCCTAGCATGGTGGCACATGTCTGTAATCCCAGCTACTTGGGAGGCTGAGGGAGGAGAATTTCTTGAACCCAGGAGGCGAAGGTTGCAGTGAGCCGAGATCAAGCCACTGCACTCCAGCCTGGGCAACAAGAGCAAAACTCAGTCTCAAAAAAAAAAAAAAAGAAAAGAAAACTCATCTTTTTTTGGTGAGTGAGGGGGAAGAAGGAAGGAGAAGGTGTCAAAGACAGTATGTCATAACTTCAAAGGCCAGAAGTAATTTTAAGATCTTTGTCAAACAAAATCTACAACCTACGTGAACTAAATGTCACGTCTTAAAATAGCCCTTGTTAACTGAATACCTGCCCTAATTTCCAAAAGTCCTGAATTCTGAGTTTCTATGGTTTGGACTACAATTGGACTTAAAGTTGTCTTATTCTATTTAAATAAACCATTTTCTTGCATCTCGCATTTTGGAAGCACTCTAAAAAATATTTAAAACTCCCAGCTGTGTGCGGCAGCTCAAGCCTGTAATCCCAGCACTTTGAGAGGCCAAGGCGGGCGGATCACGAGATCAGGAGATCGAGACCACTCTGGCTAACACGGTGAAACCCCGTCTCTACTAAATATACAAAAATTAGCTGGGCATTGTGGCGGGCGCCTGTAATCCCAGCTACTCGGGAGGCTGAGGCAGGAGAATCACCCGAACCAGGGAGTCAGGGGTTACAGTGAGCCAAGATCGTGCCCTTGCACTCAAGCCTGGCGACAGAGCAAGACTCTACCTCAAAAAAAAAAAAAAAAAAAAAATTTAAACTCCCAAAGCAGGAATGCAGAAGATTGGAACTGGGGGATGGAAAATCTACCTTTAAAAAATAAAAAATGCCAGGCGCAGTAGCTCACACCTGTAATGCCAGCACTTTTGGAGGCTGAGATGGGCAGATCACTTGAGATCAAGACTTCGAGACAAGCCTGGCCAACATGGAGAAACCCTGTCTGTACTAAAATTACAAACATTAGCCAGGCACGGTGGTGGGTGCCTATAATCCCAGCTACTTGGGAGACTGAGGCAAGAAATCACTTGAACCTAGGAGGTGGAGGTTGCAATGAGCCAAGATCACGCCACTGCACTCTAGATTGAGCGACAGAGTGAGACTCCATATCAAAAAAAATAATAATAAAAGTAAAATTTGAAAAGGAGCTTAAAACCATGAGTTGTTAGTTACACAGTGGCCATGCATTTGGGTCCTGATCAATTCTCCCACTCGCCATCTTTTCACTTCTCCCTACACTTTGCATGCAGTGACAGATGCCTGAATGGCAGCCCCAGGCAGAACCTTAAAAGAATGTTTTAGGCCTGGCCTGGTGGCTCACGCCTGTAATCCCAGCACTTTGGGAGGCCAAAGTGGGCAATTCATGAGGTCAAGAGATCAAGACCATCCTGGCCAACATGGTGAAACCCCATCTCTATTAAAAATACAAAAATTACCTGGGCGTGGTGGCTCACGCCTGTGGTCCCAGCTACTGGAGAGGCAGAGGCAGGAGAATTGCTTGAACCCGGGAGGCGGAGGTTGCAGTGAGCCAAGACCGTGCCACTGCACTCCAGCCTGGGCAACAAGAGTGAAACTCCGTCTCAAAAAAAAAAAAATACCTACTGTACAGAACTGTCTAGGACAGCATTTCTCAAACTATCTATGGCAAAGGAGTAGTTTTTATAATTTCTAGTCTAGCACCACTGCACTCCAGCCTGGGTGACAGAGGATACCCTATGGTAAAAGAAAAAAAAAATAGGGCTGTAAACCGTACATTTCTCATTAAGTTACTGTGAGGCTCAAATGAATTCGCGTATACAAAGTGTGTAGCACAAGACATGGGATGTAGGAAATGCTCAAAAACTGTTACCATTTTTGCAATAAATACTGGCTCCTCTGGGAAAGAAGAGGGGTGAGTTAAATGATGTGCCTTGTTGTGAGCCTGAGCCCACACAGCCAGCGAGGAGGGGACCCAGACTGAGACTCAGGTCTCCGGATTGCAGTTCATTCATGGGCAACTAGTACATATTGAGAGCCTACTGGACACCATGTCTTGTGGGTGATCCACCCGAGGTGGGTGGATCACTCGAGGCCAGGAGTTCGAGATCAGCCTGGCCAACACAGTGAAACCCCATCTCTACTAAAAATACAAAAATTAGCCAAGTGTAGTGGGGTGCGCTTATAATCCCAGTTACTCGGCAGGCTGAGGCAGGAGAATTGCTTGAACCTGGGAGGCGAAAGTTCTGGCACATACTGAGCACTTGCTGAGAGGTAAAGCTCAGGCCTTCTGCCCCAGGCTTTTGGAGAAGGAGTCTCGGGGCCCCCTGAGAGGCCTCACCTGCACCCCACGCCCTCGCCCATCTCCCCACTCTATCCCCTGTCGCTCCGTAAGCCCGGCTCCAGCACCCGGAGCGGTGAAAGCTCGGGCACTACCCGCCGCCCGCCAGCTCCAGGACCGCTCACCCAGGTTCTGCCCGCGCAGCACCGCGTACGGCCGGCTCCGCTCCAGCGGATCCACGGGGCTCGGGGCCTCTGCATCCCCGACCAGGAAGCTGCAGAGGCCAAAGCACAGCCACGGTAACGCCGGACGCAGCATCTTCCCCAGCCCTGCAGAAGCAGAGAGGCCACTTCCGTCGCAAGCCCTGCCTCTGTCTCCTCCCAGGTCTCTCTGCGTCGCTGCCACCGCCCTTCGGGCGCGCCTCATTGCCATGGTAACTGTGCGTCCTGGTCTAAGTTCCGCTTCTGCCCAAGATTTGTTCCGGATTAACGTTCCTCAATAAGTCATGTTTCCCTCCGACAAACTTTCCGTACCGATCAACTTTCCGTCTGTGCCAACGTTCTGCCGCGATTACCGTTCTGCTATGGTTAGCGTTCCCTTATGCATTGGGGTAGAGGTCTTGTAGGTCCATTTGGGGCCTATTGAAGATTTTTTACGAATCCATGCATTTTCTTATTAGACCTTCATTACAGGCCCGGAAAATAGATACTGTGTTTCTGTTGTAAAAATGCCACCTTCTCAGGGAGCCCTTGCCCAGACATCCTTTTCTAAAATTGCAACCCTCCTTTTCCCTTAATGTACATTCTCCCTACCTTCGTTCTCTTCCATTCCCCGCATTCACTTTAGACTCATCACCATTTACCTTATACATTTGATGTGCATTTGATGATTTTCTGAGGACCTGCTCCACCGTAGCATGTGAAGTCCATGAGCACAGCGATTTTGTTCTTGCTCTCTGCTCCTTCCCAGAGACTAGAAGAGTAGCATATTATATTCAGTAACTGCTGAATACATGAGGGAACTGAGCTAAGTGTTTGGCCCAACACTGCACACACAAAGTGGCAGAGCTGGAATTTGACCCAAGCATAGTTTTGAATCTGGAGGCTTTACCACCTCACACATTGCCTCACCTCCTGAAGGCTTGATTTGTAGTGGGATTAGTATCATCTACCTCACAATGGATGTGTAATACAAATGTCAGAGGCGTGTGAACCAGAGCAACTCTATCTTAAATAGGAGCTGGGTAAAATGAGGCTGAAACCTACTGGCCTGAATTCCCAGATGGTTAAGGCATTCTAAGTCACATGATGACATAGGAGGTCAGCACAAAATACAGGTCATAAAGACCTTGCTGATAAAACAGGTTGCAGTAAAGGAGCTGGCTATAACCCACCGAAACCAAAATGGCGACAAGAGTGACCTCTGGTCCTCTTCACTGCTACACTCCCATCAGTGCCATGACAGTTTACAAATGTCATGGCAACATCAGGAAGTTACACTATATGGTCTAAAAGGGGGAAGCATGAATAATCCACCCCTTGTTTAGCATATCATCAAGAAATAACCATAAAAATGTCCAACCAACAGCCCTCAGGGCTGCTCTGTCTATGGAGTAGCCATTCTTTTATTCCTTTACTTTCTTAATAAACTTGCTTTCACTTTGCACTGCGGACTTGCCCTAAATTCATTCTTGCACTAGATCCAAGAACCCTCTCTTGGGGTCTGGATCGGGACCCTTTTCCCGTAACGTATTTCTGGCAACCACAGAAGGAACTATAGTGCAAAAACCTGACCCAATGGCTAACTTCGGGTGTTGGGGTCCTGTAACACTACCAGGTGCTCGCCTGCAAAGGGAAGGTGTAATCTGCCATGTTAAAGACACTGTGCACCAACTTCTTCACTCCGTTCTCCATGATCTCCTCTTTCACCTCTGCTATCCTTTTCACCTTGCTGTGCACAGAACTGATGGCAGGCTCTTTCCACTGGTACAGCTTGTCACTCACCAGGGCAAAGCTAAATGGCAGACACAGGAAAGCATCAATGGGAGGCATAGCACAGTGGGCTGGGAGGCAGGCTCTGCAGGCCACTTCTGTTCCAATCCTAGCTCTGCTGCATGACTTGCTTCCGTGTGACTCGTTTTCCCTCTCTGCACAATGGAAAGCATAGTCATACCTACCTCATGAATTGTGAGGATAAAATAATACATGTCTGCAAACTCCTTTGCCTAATATCTGGCACATACTGAGCATTTGCTATAGGTAAGCTACTGCCCCCAATCTCTTTTTTTTTTTTTTTTTTTTTTGAGATGGAGTCTTGCTCTGTCACCCAGGCTGGAGTACAGTGGTGCGATCTCGGCTCACTGCATGCTCTGCCTCACAGGTTTAACTGATTCTCCTGCCTCAGCCTTCTGAGTAGCTGGGATTACACGCACACACCACCACGCCCGGCTAATTTTTGTATTTTTAGTAGAGACAGAGTTTCACCATGTTGGCCACGCTGGTCTCGAACTCCTGACCTCGTGATCTGCCTGCCTTGGCCTTCCAAAGTGTTGGGATTACAGGCGTGAGCCACCACACCCGGCCCCCAATTCCATTCTTTAACATTGCCTAAAATGGACCCTCATAGATAGGACAGTTTCTCCAGTCATAAAATCCCACTCCAGTGGGTTCACCAGCTTCGTCTGGAGGCTCAGTAACACATCAGCACCTTCCAGTCTAAGGCTGTGTCTGGTGCATTTTCAGAAACACCCACTTGCTTTATCAATAACATTGAAAATGGCAGCTACTCTCTCTCTCTCTTTTTTATTCTAGAGAAAGGGCCTTGCTCTGTTGCCCAGGCTGGAGTACAGTGGCGCAATCATAGCTCACTACAGCCTCTAACTCCTGAGCTCAAGTTGATCCTCCCACCTCAGCCTCCTGAGTAGCTGGAACTACAGGTGTGTATCACCACGCCCAGCTAATTTATATTATTTTTTGTAGACCCGGGGGGGGGGGAGGTCTCTTTATGTTGCCCAGGCTGGTCTCGAACTCCTGGCCTCAAGCGATTCTCCACCTCAGCCTCCCAAAATGTTGTGGTTACAAGTGTGAGCCACCACACCAGGCTGCAGGAGCCACTCTTTATTGGGAACTTAATACGTGCCAAGTGTTCTACATGCATCATCTCCTTTAATCCTCACAATTGTAGGAGATAGTTACTGTGATTGATTGCATGCATGCGCCATCACGTCCAGCTTAAAGGGTTTGTTTTAAATGCTTTGTTTACTCATTCAGAGTTTATTTATTTAGTCCCTTCTCTCTGCCCTGCTGCTGAGTGATATTAGCAAGTCTAAGATGATGGCTTCCCTCTATGAGCTGACCTTGGGAAGCTGAGACAGAGTGGGCCAAGACTCAGCTCCAGCTGTTCTCCACATTGGCTGTGTAACTACCCAGGGAGCTTTCAAAATTGCAGCTCCCCAGTCCCATCCCTGGAGACTATGATTTTGTGAGTCTGGGGAGTTATCCAGATACCTATATATATTTTAAAAGTTCATGGCTGGGCTCAGTGGCTCATGCCTGTAATCCCAGCACTTTGGGAGGCCGAGGTGGGCGGATCACAAGGTCAGGAGGTCGAGATCATCCTAGCCAACATGGTGAAACCCCGTCTCTACTAAAAATATAAAAATTAGCGGGGCATGGTGGTGCATGCCAGCTACACAGGAGGCTGAGGCAGGAGAATCGCTTGAAGCCAGGAGGTGGGGGTTGCAGTAAGCCACTATCGTGCCACTGCACTCCAGCCTGGTTACAGAGCTAGACTACGTCTCAAAAAAAAAAAGTTCCCAGGTGAGACTGGGCACAATGGCTCATGCCAGTAATCCCAGCACCTTGGGAGGCCGACGTGGGTGGATCACTCAAGGCCAGAAGTTTGAGAGCAGCTTGACCAACATAGTGAAACCCCATCTCTACTAAAAATACAAAAATTGGCCAGGTGTGGTGGTGTGCGCCTGTAATCCCAGCTACTCGGGAGGCTGAGGCAGGAGAATTGCTTGAACCTGGGAGGCGAATTTTGCAGTGAGCCGAGATTGCACTACTGCACTCCAACCTGGGTCACAGAGCAAGACTCTATCTTGGGGGAAAAAAAAAAAAAAGTTCCCAGCTGATTCTAATGCATAGCCAGGGCTGAGGACCACTGGGAGGCTCCTGAAAGACAGCTCATATTTGACAATAGCAAGTACATTTGAAGAAGAGCATTCCTCATGACCCAGCAATGAAACTCTTACCTATGTGCCCTAGAGAAACTCTTGTCCATGTGCCGGAGTTACGGACAAGAATGCTTCTGCGGCATTGCTTGTAAGAGGGAAAGCAAGAAATAACCTAAATGTTCTCAAACAATAAATGGATAAATTGTTGGATTCATACAATGGGATGCTTTGGACCAGGCGCAGTTGCTCATGCCTGTAATCTCAGCCCTTTGGGAGGCTGAAGCAGGAGAGTTGCTCAAGCCCAGGAGTTCGAGACCAGCCTGAACAACAGGAAGAAACCCTGTCTTGACTAAAAATACAAAAATTAGCTGGGTGTAGTAGCACATGCCTGTAGAGATGGAGGCCAAGGTGGGAGGATTGCTTGGGCCCCAGAGGTCAAGGCTATGGTAAGCTGTGATTGCACCCCTGTACTCCAGCCTGGGCAATAGAGCAAGACCCTATCTCAAAAAAATAATAAAATAATTTTTAAAATGGGATGCTTTGGAGCAGTGAAAATGAATTAACTAGAGCTGTGCATATCAACATGGAAATAACCTAACATTGAACAAGCAAAGCAAGCTGCAGTGTGATATAAAGTTTAGAGAAATCCAAAGCAACATCATGTACTCACAACTACCTATACATGAATGTGCATAGCAGCACTATTCACATAACCCAAATGTTCATCTATGGATGAATGCATAGGCAAAATGTGGTCTATCCATTCAATAAGATGAGATATTATTCAGCCATAAAAAAGGAACAGAGTACTCATACTGCTATAACATCGATGAACCTTGAAAACATTATGTCTGCTACCTCAAAGAGGCTAGTCACAAAAGGCCACACATATTTTATGACTCCATTTATGTGAAATACCCAGAATAGGTAAATCCATACAGACAGACAGTAGATTTGTGGTTGCAGGGGATACAGGGAGGGAGAAATGGTGAGTGACTACTAATGGGCATGGGGTGTCCTTTTGGGGTGATGAAAATGATCTGGAACTAGATAGAGGTGGTGGTTGCACACCTCTCTGAAATGCCACTGAATTGTTCGTGTTTACAGTGGTTAATTTTGTGTTATATAAATTTCGCCCCAATAAAAAAGTAAAAATTAAGTATTTTTTTACATATGTAGACATATATGTGCTTAGAAATATAAAAACAAGGGAATGACAAATGTCAAATTCAGGATTTTATTTAGAGATGGAGTCTTGCTATGTTGCTGAGGCTGGAATGCAGTGGCTATTTCACAGGTGCAATCATAACACACTACAGCCACAAACTCCTGGGCTCAAGAGATCCACCAGT